CTGTAGGAAAAGTGGAGAGGCCCAGAATACACGTTGCTTGGAGTCCAGAGTGAAGTTTCCACAATCAGTGATGATTTGGTGCCATGTCATCTGCTGGTGTTGGTCCACTGTTTTTTTTTTTTTTTTTTTTTTTTTTTTTTTTTTTTCCCAAGTCCACATGGGCTGAGGACTTCAGAAGACACAATGGACCAACATAGCCATGTGGAGCTCTGATACAGGAAACAGTTTCTCAGCAGCACTAATTTATCTAAAGCAGCACTTAAGGAGATGCAAGTTATACTCTAAGGCAGGTGTGCCCACACATTTTCAGCATGCAAGCTACTTTTACAAATACCAAGTCAAAGTGATCTACCTATAAATAAGTGTTATGTATGTTTCTATACAATGATACAATTTGATTCTCTGCATTTAACCCATCACACCTGAGATAAACCCAGGTAGAGCAGTGGGCAGCTATGCAAGTGCCCAGGGAGCAATTAGGATTAGGCGTCTTGCTCACGGACACCACGAAGGGGGCATGGCAAAGAGTTGAACTGCGGCTTTCTCTACCCCATCTTGGGGACAAGATGGTGTAGAGGTCCTGTAGATGGTGCATAAGGTCCTGTTTACACCAGAACAACCTCTGGAAACGTTAGTGTTTTTTTCATTGTTTATTGAGATAATGAACAAAAAATGACTGGGTTTACATAAAAACGTTGTAGTTTCCATGTCAATCGGATTGCCAGATAAGAAATTATGAACTATAGTACTGTGGCTTTTAAAATTAAGCATTTTGACCTAAACTGTCATATGTGCCGATTAAAGATATTCTAAGATGAGGTGTGTGTTGTTTGTTGAACATGTGCACAGAAAAGAAGGGGGTAAATAAGACCTTTTTATATTTATCTGGCAACCCTAATACAGGGCTCAGTGCAGTGCTGCATTCATTGCGCAGGCAGTGTCTGTATGACCACAGTTGTGTCCAAACAAATCACTCTGCTCTCTGATATTTATTACAACTGTTGTTGGAGCAGAAATACTTTGGACTGCAGCCCCCTGTAGTGCACATGTGCGACACTTGTGGAGCATTTCTTGCCTCTGTGGGGGGTTCCCCTGAAAATCTCAACTCTGAGACCTGGATTCAGAAAGCTTCGGTTTCAGAGAGAATGGGGGCTGTTGTCTGTAAATGAACGGCTGAACGTTTCACGTCGTGTAAACGGGGCCTCAGACTGAATGCCTGTATGTCAATCAAGTGACAAATTTCATAATGAGGATGGATGATAGGCTGACGTCTATTCTGTTTAATGCCATGTGAGCTGTCCATCGACCCGTAGATCGCGATCGACGTATTGGGCACCTCTGCTCTAAGGCAGCAGGAGATTAGTAAGTTCAGAGTACATTTTTGACACAAAGTCCAGTTTTAATCAAAATAATTTCAAAAGAACTGTGTTGATCGTCACTGTTGCAGACATTTACAGGCTGTTTAATTCAGGGTGGAATGATCATAATTTTATGATCTGCTTCACTTATCAGCCCCTAACCAACATAATTATATATTTAACAGATAAAGGAAGATTTTTTAAAAATTCCTTTTCAACTTGAAGACTTGAGTTGTGCTGGGGAAAAATTACATCCTTAATATTATTCAAAGCCTCGAAGTTATTTCATTGGAATGGTGCTCTGATTTCTCAGCTCTACATAAACCACCTTTTCCCTCTAGACTGTATTGCTTTTGTCTCTTCCTTGGCCCTGTGGCGATGGATTTAAGCCAGCCTACATCAGTGTACGGTTGCTACATCAGATGTTTAGTAATCACCAGAGAGATGTGCTTCCTCTTTGCTTTAAATGTTCCTGCTTTGGCTGCTGCTAAAGAAAAGGCTTAGTCGCTTCCTCCCACTATGGGCATCACCAGCGCTCAACTGGAATATGGCTGTTAAAAGTTGCTCAAGTCTTTTAAGTTACATCTAGAAGTGTTTTTTTTTTGTGTGTGTGTGTACGTGTGTGTATGCGTCTTGGTTTTAAACAGTTATGCTGCAGAAGATTCAAGATTCTTTCATTCACATCGAATGTGGTACATGAGGTGGAACAAAATAGTGTACACAGGGTCCCAGTTGCATCCAACAATATAAAAAATATTGGAGGTGCACCGATCCGATACCCGTATCCGTACCGATTTAAAAACAAAAAAAAAAAAAAAAAACTTCTGGATCAGGTATCCTGACAATGTGACCGATCCATGACTGGGCAGATCTATTCACTCTAATTCTATGCTTTGTGCTCTGAGTGACATCACGCGCAAGCGTACTGACTGAACAAATTAAAGTTGTTGTTGTTACACGTTTGATCAAGCTTTTGAATCTGTTATGGTGCAGTGTTTTCAAAAAATTAGTAATTCAGTACATTCATGTGTGCGTTTAACAAAACAAATGTTTTTAAGTTAAATCAGCACTGGGTTTGTAAGCTCAAACATCCATGTAGACAACAAAAATGGCTAAATGTCATCTGGACCTGCTTCAGAAACGGGTCCAGATAACATGATTTAGCCATTTTTGGTAATTCAGCACTGTTTCTGTATCGGATCGGTATCGGTCAATACTAAACGCAGATATCTGTATCGGATCAGAAGTGGGGGGAAAAAAAGTGGATCGGTGCATCCCTAAAAAATATAAAGTGTAAAAAGAAATGGTGAAGCTATAAACTAAGATATACGCTAAATGAACGCCCAACGGTACGCTAAAAGATAAGATATACGCAAATCGATAATAGTGCAAAAATAATACACCGAACAGCAGCAGCACGATTCTCATAGGTTCTGTTCGACTACGATTTACATGCTTGATGCGAGTGGAGTCGGGCTCGGAGCCCCAAAACTAACATAAACTAGGATTTATTCAAAGCATGCAACAAAAATGCATAAACAAAATGGGCAAAAGTGAAAAAGAAATAAATCTACAGCAGCATGGTCCTGTTGGCAGAGTGGTTCTGATGACAGTGAGGTTGTCTTAGCAACATGGTCCAGTTAGCAGCATGATATTGTTAGCAGTGAGGTTCAGTAGCGGCGTGGTCTTGTTAGCAGTTTGATGGTAACAATGACCGCAGCAGCTGCCCTCCCAGACTGCCCTCTAGAACTGGGTCCAGCAGACAGAGAACATCCTGATGACCTTTGGGTCCAGATGTGCAAGTTGAACTTGAGTTAATGAAGTTAACAGAATCACAGGAACAGCTCTGTCATGGTGTCTGGAATCGAATGTCGGGCTTCTTTCTGGCCTGAATGCTGTTTGATATAAAGAGTGTCTGATTTTAATTTAATTTAATTCTTGGAGTGTTGTTCATGAGTGAGGGAAGAATTGAGCATGAGAATGACAGAGTGATGCAGCGTCTGCAGTATTCCGGACCCTGTGCTGGTCCGTTGTGGTGAAGAGGAAACTGAGCTGTAAGGCAAAGCTCTCTGTTTACCGGTCGGTCTACATTCCTACCCTCACATATGGTCATGAACTCTGGGTAGTGACTGAAATGATGAGATCATGGATACAGGTGGTTGAAATAAGTTTCCTGTCCAAAACCAGGAGAATGTCCAACAGTTTTAACTGAACTAGTCAGAATGATGAAGAGAGCAGGACTCGGATCAAACGGGCCGTATAAAGGTCTGGTTTCTGAGGTGCCTCCTGCTTGGGTTCAGTATGAGCTTGATGGGACTTGTAGAAATTAATGTTTTTAGTTTTTGGTGTGTGTGGGGGGGGGGTGCTTTTGTCATAAGTTTGATTTTAAATTCTTAATTCAGTTCAGTTTATTTCTATAGCACCAGATCACAACAGAATTTATCTCAGGACACTGTAAGAAAACATTCACATACATAAAGAAGCCAATTGGTAAAAGCAGTGTTTCCACACCAGTTATACAAGCGGGACGCCCTGCCCTGTCAACACAACCGAGCACACCGCCTACCAAAACGCACTGACGTAGCGCTGTGCGCAACATGGGCACGCTAGCTAAAAAGCAAAAAGCAGAGCACTCGCTCGTCCCTAATAACAGGAGGAAACCTCCAGCAGAACCAGGCTCAGGATGAGCGACCAGCTGCTTCGACCCGCTGGATTTGAGAGGAACAAACAGGAATGGCAGGTCCAGGTTTACTTTCTGTTGGAATAAAGACAAGACACGTGTTGAGATAGAAATAATTACAAATACAAAACGGCTTAATATTATTTGTAGCATGTTTGGAGAGGCTAAAGTACTTTTTTAATCTTCGGTTTATCTGGGGATGACTTCTAATCTGAGTTGGAACATCTCCGATCATGAATGAATCGCACATTTATTTAAAGTCAAAACTCTTAAAGGAACTTTAAAGTAGCTAAAATAAAGTGGAGAAAAACTGAGGCCCACTGCCTGACCCTTAGTGCTCGACCCACAGTACAGTTCTACAAGTGTTAGGCACCAAAATAAGCAGAATTTTCAAACCTAGTTCAGATTTCATTGCGAGTGAGTTGATGTGAACGATTAAAGTATTTTGTTACGAACCTGAAGGAGTTTCATCCCATGCGTTACTGGATTTGATTCTGTCAGCTCCACGGCCGAGGCCCGGTGTGTGTTCTGAATAAATGCTCGTTTGTACCACTCCTGGTTGGTGAATCTGACCAACAGTAGATGGTGAAGAAGCATCTTTGTGGGTGGAGGAAATTGAATGATCTGTGTGGACGATGTAATGTAGGTTTGAAGTGCATCAGGAGGAGAACGGTCTTCTCTAATTTACTGTCACTGATGAGCTGATGCGACAGCCGAGCAGTTGCTCGTCATTTTTAATTTAGAGTGGGTCAAAGAGATGATTTACGTTAACAGGTTTTAACAAATGCCATTTTGGAAAACTAACTTCTGACTTATTGTAATTTGTCTTGGGATTAATTTTTATTTCTCAAATGCAGTCAAGTTACTTCAAAAAGTGGTGTGCTACTGTAATGTATGGCTTTGTTTTGCCTTTCCCAGTCTTTACACTGAAGTCAAAATGTTTTTTTGTCTTGTTGTTGCAGGGCAGAGCTTAGGATACGGGTTTGTGAACTATGTGGACCCAAAAGATGCAGAAAAGGCAATCAACACTTTAAATGGCTTGAGACTTCAGACCAAAACCATCAAGGTAAGAAATCGTTTTTTAAAAGACTCTTCAGGTTGAAGCTTAATGATGCTGGAGAGCAACGTGGGGTGGAAAATGGAGACTATTGTTAATTTGAGCAGGCTGCTTTTTTTATTTTGGTGGGGGGGAGGGTCTCAAGTAGAGCAGAACTGTTTCTATGGTTTCGTGTGCTCTAGCTGTGCTGGATGCTGTTACAGGGAGGTGGCTGCCATTAGCATTCATCAGGCAATGCAGCACTCAATGTGCTGGTGGAACATTAATTTGCTTCATGTCGGGCTGCAGCATTGTGAACCGTAGACTTAAAGTTTGAAATGGGATTTTTCACCAAGAAACGGACTAAAACTTTCTTTAAGCAAATCACATTTAAATATGACCAGAAAGGTGGATTTTATTTTTTTTCCATTTATCCTTTATTTATACAGGTAGTCTCATTGAGTCACGAGAGCTCATTTTCAAGAGAGACCTGTTT